CAGGAATGTCTGATAAGAAGAGGCCTCTCAGCTGATAAGGAAACTGCCATGAATAGTATGGTGCAAACAATGCTCTGAAAGCTGGTTAGTACTATTTACAGCCAGTTAAAACTCAGGCTTCGCCCATTTTGGAGAAAAATATGTCTGGTTTTGCTTGGTAAACACTACAATGAGAAACCTGATGACATCTCATCACACCGGGGTACTGGCAGGAAACTCAGCTTACCTGTGCTATGCTTTGCCTGGAAGCCTTTTCTCTGTACAGAAGCATCAGAGTAAAACCTGAGGAACATCTTGTTAGTAGAAGCAACCACAGGGTTTGGTTTCTTGCTGCCACAGAAGCGGCCAAGGATAGGTGACTTGCTGTTGGGCCCATCATACATTTCTAAGTGGTCATAAGCACATTCCTGGTGCTGTTCAATCTCAAACTCATTGAAGATCTACAGTAAGAGCATAGAATAAGGAGAATTAAGGAAGACACTTGTAAATCTGAGTGTCCTCAGATTTACATCCTCTTAGTAGAGGATGAAACGCCCAGGAAGACACAGGTCAAACGATATGCCTGTCCAACTCCTCACACACAAACAAAAACAGAACCTTGTGCTTTCAGATGAGAGTGATCTCAGGAGAGTGGAGCTCAGCTCATAACATGTCCTGTGTAGCCTTAGCTCTGCTGCCTCACACATATGCATGACAACTGTCTTCAATCACAAGCCTTATACGCTCTTATTTTCCCTGCTGGGAATCCTGCCTAATGCACTGAATGGGCAATTGTTCAATATTACTTCCTCCAAGGACCCCTTTGGATCCAGGCATTATTTCCTCCCAGGGCATGGACTAGCCGCACAGCTTTGGGCATGTCCTGCCTTATGCATCAGTCTGTCCTGTAAGATGAGGCTGATGCATCCTCTGCAGAGGGGCTGAGGACTGGCACTGCCCTCACCTTATGTGAGGATGGTCCCAACAGAGTAGCTCACAAGGAGGGATAGGGAGGAGAGGGCATGCTCCCAAGTGCCTGTTATACCTTCTGTTAACAGAGCAGGCAATGCTCCACAGGCATCATCTCCTAGAGTCTCCTCTAAGCTGCCTCACGTCCCTCTGAGACTTTCTGTCCGTTTCTAGCCCAGGGGCAGCCTCCTAGGACCCCCTCCACCCAGCACCTCACACAGGGCCTGGATTAACCTTTCCTCTCATACAACGGTAGGGAGATATCACTTCAGCACGGCATTATCCAGCCTGCTTCTCCCCTCTCGCTCTCTGGTTACTCACTACTTTCACTCGGTGGCCAGGTGTTGCAGAGATATTTCAAGTGCCCTCTTTCCGGCTAGGGTACTTGTCAGGCCAGTTTGGACTGCTCATCATTCCCTCTGCGCTGCTCAGTTTGTGCTCGCAACCAGCTTGAGAGAGAAAGATCACAACATGGAGGCATGGAGGCAGGTCTCACAAGGCAGAGGCATTATTGTATTGTCCTACATGCTCCTCCCTGCCCACTGAAACCCTCAACAGGGCAGAAACAGGGAAGGTTTCAGTCACTGAATACAATCTTTTCGGATTACTGCATACTTCTGGGTGGGTCTGTCCCTAGCAAGGCCTATACTTCTGATACGCTAGAGGGCAGCCAGACTAGGTGGCTGAGCTAATCAGACAGCTGGTGAAATAGGTTATCTTACTTCCCTCTTCCTCCTCTCCTGTTCCTCCATCTTTTCTCCCATGCTCCCAGGGACAGAGTCTTCACTGTGTTGACTCTGGTGCTATCTGAGCCCTGTTTGAGCTCTTTGTTTTGCTGGCTCAGCAAGTTGGATCAGCTCACGGAGAAATCAGGCAAGCAGACGCTGTACGAAGGAAGGCCATGGGAGCACACAGCCAGGGGTGGAGCGTAAGAAGAAATTTTTGAAAGCAGCAAACTCTTAGATCAGCTCAGTTTCTCTCTTCTGACTGAACCTAAGGCTTAAATGATACCAAAAGCAACAAGTCTAATGGAGGTGTTTCACAACTGCTTACTGGCTTCTTTTGCTAGGCCAGCTTCTTACTCCCACCCTGTCCATCTCCCTGGCCATGTGGAGGGCCAGACTGGGGAACTGATCCAGCTTAAAAAAAAATTCCCTCTTTTTCCTTTGGCTGGAGATTTTTTTAGCTAGGTCAGTGCTCCAGCCTGGTACACTACCCAGCTGTACAAACATGCTTCCAACACGGGGCAGGATGCACTCTGGATCAAGAAGTGTTTGCAAATAAAGACAGCTTAACTTGCTTGGATGTAAGGAGTGGGGGCCTTACCTTCTTTGCAATCGTGGCCATTTTCATGCAGCATGAACCCATTTCTGCAATGGCATACATAGCTCCCAAAGGTGTTGATACATTCGTGCTGGCACCCACCATTATCTTTGGAGCATTCATCTTTGTCTGGGCAGAATCAAATCAACAAATACTGAGTTGCCAGTGAGGAACAGGCTACTGCAGTTGCCAGCTGTGAGTCCCATATCCAAACTGGCAGATACCAATGCAAACCTTAAACCTCTGGTGCTGGATTAGTCCAGTCACATTTTTAGCCTTGGGTATGATTTTTCTCAATCATCTTTCATTCCATAAAATGCAGCACAGATGTCTTTTATTATATAATGTATGTTTTGAATGATTAAATAGTCCTATCATTAACAGAAACCTAAGAGCAATGCCTCGTTATTTTAGAATAGGGTTCAGGAAAAATATCACAAATTTACCCGCCTAGGCAAAAAATTAACTGGCCCATCTTTATTTTTTCAAGTTCCTGTATGCTTTCATGAGCCCTCATCTATAAACAGCTTTGTCCAAAAGCACAAGGAAACACATGGAGAAGAGGTTCCAAAGTATGAGTTGCTCCCTGAAACTGCAATATGTCCCAGTGGATTTTTACTCCTGCATGTTCAGCTCTACGCAGAAGCTACAGGGCCAAAGAAGGGCCTGTCTTTGTCACCCTTTTGGGACAGTGGCACATGTAGGTAGCAGAGAAAAAGGAATATCAGACACTTCTATTCCACCTTTTCCATAAGCAAATGCAAGGATTTTGGCTTAGAAAACTTCAGGCTTACAGTAAAGGGAAAGGATGCAGGAAGCACAATGGGAGCCACTTACTGAGGTTAGTGCCTTCCCACTACATACAGTTCCCTTCCCAAACTGGTCCAGCTGAAAGAAAAGTGGGATTTTTCCCCTACTGCTCTTCATGGCAGGTGTTCCCGAATCTCACTGCTCTGAGCATAGGATCTGTTCTCAGTTTCCAGTCCAGTTTCACTTATGACCAGCTTATCTCCATTTTTTCTTGTGCCAGTGCTCTCTCCCTGGACTACATTACCTTCTTCTGTTTCCTCATACCCAAACGTATTTCTAGATGAAACATACCCTACCTCATCACTCCTCCTGTTAGATTTAATAAGCCAGTCCTCTTGCCTTGATTCTCTTCTGCATCTGTCTTAATTTGAGGTCCTTTTGCCTGATTAGCTGTAGATTGTCCTACTCAAAAATATTAATATTGGTCTGCTTCTGCTGAAAATACAGCATGGAACTGAAGTTCCACTTTCACATGATCTCTGTAAATGCCTGCCAAAAGATGCGTCACCGAAGCAAAGAGCTATGAATGATTCAGACCAAGGTATTAGAAACCTCCAATAGCATGCACAGCTTAGATGGGAAGGACTGTAGTACAGAAGACTTCTGGAAAATTTCCAGCTCTTCTAGTTTCAGAGAGGAAGCCAGTCCCTAATGACTCCTGGGCAGAAAGAACAACTTCTGGGATCAAGTTTCCCATTGCTTCCTGCTGCGGTGGACTGGGAGCACTGATGAAATCCATACACCTTGCTGACACCACACTGTGAAACTGGAACATACACTGCACTGAGAAACCAAGCTGAAAAGAGACACAGTACAGAGCAACCATACTTTTTACATGTAAATAACCATGTAATCTGCTGCCTAATTTAACAGGGGCTTGAAGAAAATTTACCAAAAACAAGAGTTTCAGTCAGAGGAGACAGTCAAGCAACTGAGAGAAAACACCCACATACCAGAGAAGAAGTGAACTTTGAACCCTTTCTTGGAGACTGTGTTGTCTGATTTGAACTCCAGTCTCATGCTGTTGCTGTTTGATGTGATTACTTCAGGTTTCTCTGAGCCACAGAATTTGCCGTGCAGCTTGGAGTCAGAAGCCAACCCACTGCGAACCTCAACATAGTCATATTTACAGATCTGTCAAGAGAGGAGGAGGTTTCTCAGCTCAGTGGGGTCAGAACAGAGCATTTCAGAGGACAGGGACAGATGCTTGAGTGACAGGGAAAGGAAACACCCTTAAATTCAAGCATGCTCCCAATTTCCCCAAATTCTCCTCCGTCATTGTCCTCATACATTGTCCTCACTTGCTGCCCCAGTTGTACAGCATGGCTGTGTTTTATCAGAACAGCAGGGGTTCCATTTAATTTAGCTAAAATAATGACTCCCTCCCTATCTGAAAGCTTGACAGCTTGACTGAACTTCAGCAGCCTGTTGAATTAGGGAAGAACCACTGCCCCCTTCTACAGTGGGGGAAGTAAGACCTGAATGCTTTGTTCAGAATCCATCCTTGGCAAGGCAGAGAACTCTCTACTTTGTGTTTATCCTGGAGGGTACTCTACTTCATTGTTCATTTCCAATGACCTCCCTACAAAAGCAGCCCGGGGGAAAAACACCAAATAGGGATGGAAAACACCTACAATTATTCAAAGCTAGAGAGAAGATGGAGAACAGAAGCCCGTTTATAACAGAATAGCTTCAATCTTTCCACTCCCTAGAGAAAGCATATCCAGATTTCAAGGAGAGCAATTACTGCTAATGGCTCTCAAGGGCTGGGAAACAACCATAAGCTCCATCAGTGGGACACACAGTCTCTACTTCTTTGTACCCCAAAGACTTATTTAGTTCTGGGTTATCCAACAGTTACACGTCCGAGATACAGGGACTGGTTACGTACATCATTGCCTTCCAGCTCAAACACTTCGAACTGCAGAGAGATCCGGTACTGGGCTGGAGCTACCACCTGCCAGACGCAGTTTTTGTTAGTAGGATATTCCTTGGGCCATCCAGGGCTAGTGATGGTCCCATTGAGCTTGGTGATGAAGCCCCCACAGGCAGCTGGAGAGGCAATAAATGAACACAAGGTTTACTTGGTTCTGTTCAGACACAGAATTTGGGCCACACTGTTAGCTAGAAAATGAATCAGACCCTGGATGGTGGCACATTTCAAATCCCAGCCTCCAGAATAGGGGTTACAATGGCAGGAGCTATGGAGAAGACAGAAACTTTGCCTACTACAAACCACAAGTAAAGCACATACAGCCAGTCCGTGGCCCTAGGAGCCACTTCCACTGTTTAAGATTAGTCTCCACTATACTCTATGGCCTTGGGTTTACTGTGAATCAGCAGACTTGACATATACAACACAGCTGGTAAGGCCAGCTTAGTAAGGTCACCCACATCTCTGATAGAATTCAAATGCCTGACCTTTGCAACCTCAAGCAAACACCTGTAGCCCAAATCAAAAGCATGAAGAGTGATGACACACTATTCTACAAACCTTTGAAGTTCACCAGCAACTGATTAACTAGAAGATAATAGAATCCTAAGGAAGACACCTTTGTCAGCTCTTTGGTGGTTTGATATATGTGAACAGCATCTTTGCTAGGGAAAACTGATGAGAAGTGAGAGACATCTCTATTCTCCCATTTCCTTTAAAAATTCAGGACGTTTCAGCTTCATCCTCCTGAGGGAGGACATGGCTTTTACATCAAAGCAATCAACAGTTTCAAATCAAATCAAATCCTCAGTTTGCTCTTTTGATGCAAAATTCTACCTGCCATGAAGCAATTTTTTTCTTGCTGTTTCCTGGGGGTAACGAGATAAGGCCAGATCTTCAAAATTCACAGGGATAAAAGCTACCTGTGTCTTGTTCCCAGTAACATTTTGCATTAAGAGAACTAACCCAAAGGAGCAGCTTCAATGCAAAAAGTGCAGTGAAGCTGCTTACCAACCACAAGTGTTTTAGGGACTTGTTAAAGCACAAAGGGTAACATGACACCAAGGGTGTTGATGGTAGAGCCTAACAAAATAGACAAATAAAAACCACACAAAGCATTTTGATTTTCACTCAAACTTTCCAATCCATTTGTTTATTACCCTTCACTTCACTAGTTTTAGCAGAGCAAGAACAACCATTTCCTCCAGTGGGGCCTAGCTTTTATCTGAGACACCAGGTGGTTAAATTCACATTCCCCTCCATCAGGGTGAGCACAGCTGTCTCGGTTGGGGATTATTCAGCTATATGGACCACCCCTGTGTCACATCAGAGCGGGCAACAGTGACAAAAAGGGGAGTACCACAGTCCTTACCATAGATCTGCACCTGCAGCTATCTGCCCAGTAACATAGACCTGCTCTGTGCTAAAAAGGCAGGACAGCACTAGATCTCTATCCTAAGGGATTAGACCAGGAGCTTTAGCCCCTTCATTTATAGTCTGTGTCTCAAAGGAAGAAATTTTCCTGCAGTTTTGAATGTAGGCCCCAAAACTAAAAATTGTGTCTTGTGGTGTGCTCTCAGTAGCCAGATGCAGTGCATTTTATCTTCACTATGCTGTTGCCTATTGCATTACATTTTGCATAGTAACACCTAGAGGAGCAAAAGCAATCAACTTTGATGTGCATCACTACATTTTCAAAGACTACCCTCTCTGTACTGCCCACAAGTGGAGTTTGAAATAGGAGGCTAAGACTGAAACCCAGAAAACGCCTGCCAAGTTATACCAACTGACTTGCTCAGAACTTTAAGAAATTATTTAAAAAATAAGGTATGGCTTCCAAAAGTCTTTTGCATGCACCTAACTGCTCCCACAAAGTCAACGTCAGTCTTGCTCAATATACTGGCAAAAGTAGAAGCCAGGGCAAACCAGGTCACTTTGAGAGTCCCTTTCACAGTGTGTGGAGTTCCCTAAACGTATCTCAGCTGATGGGGAAAAACTAAGAGATAAGATCAATATGTGAATTTCACAATGCTGGTAGTTGTACTGTTTGTGGAGGTAAACACTCGTTGCTAGAGTCTGGTTATACAAATATAGTGCTGACGAAACAGCTTCTATCTAACAAGAAAGCTTTTTTCGCATCAAAAAACTGGAATTGACTCATTACCCATTTTGCATGGTAAATACTGATAGTTTAGTCTACAATAAGAAGTTCTTTAAAGTTTTTCAGCCTTAGATTGAAATACTTTGATTCTGTAGCACTGCTGTCATGCCATTTGGTAGTCACAGTTACTGCCTTCTGTGAACTAGGCCCGTCATCTGAGATTCACCTCCCAGGAATACACTTGGACCACTCAACTGTCACAAGGTAATGACCCCTCTCTGTGGTGCATTGTGGGAGCTCTGGTCTAAGCACGGATCTAAGACCATAAAGGACAATTGTTTTAAGAGGGATTTAGGCAGCAGAGAATCAGTGTGTTTTCAGCTCTTCACTCCAAACTTGATTTGAATGGGAAACTTGACAAAAGAAAATGCTTTGTGGGGCAGGTACACACAAACAAAGAAGCTGGAGGGGAAAGGAGAATCATCTCCAAGCTAGTTCAATTTCATTATTAGCTGTAGCACCCATCCTAAAGACAGATGACCCAATCTGTAGGCTACTCACCTTCACAGCTCTTCTTATCAGCAGTCAGCTCGTAGCCAGGCTCACAGGTGCACTTGTAGCTGCCCAGTGTGTTCTCACAGAGGTGCTCACACCCACCGTTGTCTGGCAGAGAACATTCATCCATTTCTGTCAGGAGAAAACCAGAACAAGTCACACTTTCCAAGCACCCAAATCTCCTCAACATTTTCTCAGGCAACACTTCTGGGCAGAAAGACCAGAGCCCTGACTGATAAGTAGAGCCCATGGACCAGGCACTGCTGCAAATCTGACAAGTGCTAAAGCATTCCTACCACCAAAAACTCAAAGGCTAAAAATTACTCTCACCAGCCACAGGGTCTAACAGCATTTTCTCTAGATAGAAGCAGGAAAACATAGTCTCCTGTAAAGACTTCACTGTATTTTGTTCTCATTTGCTTTTTATTTGTTTTTGTTTTTTATTCCTCATGCTCTTGCATGACTTGACATATCAAAAACCAGCTCATTATGGTGCCCACGATAATGGAGCTGTAGATGGGAAGCCATACCCCATTGAATGGAATACAGCAAAGGAGCTGGGAGGACATGCAAATTGTTTTTCCTGTTTGTAGACGCATTAGCTGCTACCCTTGACTTTCAAGTCAGGTTCTCCCAATCAGATCTCAACAACCTGAGCTGACATTTTAATATACAGAGAGCCAGATTCACTAGCTTCTCAACCTGGTTTCTGAGTCCATGCACATCCCTTAATGGATGGTTTTATGAACATGCTCCAGTAAAAGTTAATGCTATGTAGACCAAACAGGAACAGTCCTGATAGCACTGTTTTCCTCAAAGGCTTCCTACAGTCAGGAACCCTCTGCTGTAACAGTTCAATCCAAACAGATTCCATTTTTCTGTTTCTATTTGTGGACTTACTATTAAGAGAGTATTGCTTTGCTGCTCCATGCTTGGGCACATTACAATAGCTTCTAATCTGGCTGTTAAATCATTTGCTGACAGAAAAGAGAGGCTGCAACGTCTACGATCATCAAAAAACCCATCTTCACCAAGGTCTTCACCAAGAGAGGGACATAAATGCTAGTGTCCTGGCCTTGTGCAGCCATATTTCACAGAGTATTTTCTTTCCTCTAACATTTGCCATCAAGAAGAAAGGTACAATGTGAGTGTAAGACAAGCATATCACTACTAACACTTCAGCCATATAAACACCAGGCTTCAGTTATACAATCAATCTGTCACTAAAATTAAGATAACTAATAAACAATAATCTTAGAGCTTTCCCTTGAGATATACATGGTGGGATGGACATTAGATAATTGCTCTTATCTTCGTGACACTGCCCTCTTGGACCTGACCAAAGACTTACCCTCTGTGATCTGACTGTTTGCAGATTTAATTTTGCTGAAAAGCTAGAAGTTAGCACTGCATGCTCTCACAGGGCATTAATTTCAGTTTGATCCTTAACTCTGTTTTCTTTAAGCTATTTTCTTTCCCAATATTGTAAGACACGTAATCGTAGCTCTGTACACAATTAATTAAGGCAAAGCTGACCCAACGCTCAGTCAGCTGAGGATGGCAGTCCACAGACTGCCCGCAGAGCCATCTAATTTGTTCATGTACTTTGTTTAGGGTACAGCAGCTGGTCACAATCCCTCTGGATGCAGCAGACTTCAGGTCCCAGCTTGAAACTCCACATGGAGCTTGCAGGTATGTCTACGCAGCTTTTGCAAACTGACATCAATAAGCTCTGCCCACAAGGCAAGCTGGCGAGAAGCTGCATAGCTACAGCTACTGTGGTGCTTGGCCCAAGTAAATATACTTTGCCTCACAGCTGGACTTAATAGCATGGACTCAGCAACACCATAAACATCCATGGGCTACATGGTTTTCGGTTCACACCTGTGTATCTGACTAGACGTTACAAGATCTAGTCTGCCAGCAAAAACTGCACAGACAAGACCTGTGTCTGCAATTGCACTAGCACTGCATGTTTATGCATTTTAAAAAAAATCAACATCTATTTCAAGGCATCTTTATCCCAAGGAAAGCATCCCAGAGGCAGATGTACTCTACAAACTTGCAGGAAAACCTCAGATTATACAAACTGACTTGCTACGGGCCAAGAAGTCTCTGGCTAGTGCTAGTCCCCAAAAGACATCTCTGCCACACAGTCAGCCTGCACTATTAGCTCCTGAAGGAGGCCAACACATCTTTGGGAAGAAGTACTAACTGTGTCTTTATGGAATTTGAGAAATTTAAAGAGGGGAGTCCAAGAGTGATGAGAGTTGTCCAGCATCTGGAATGAAACACCACAGTATTTGCCAGTGATCTTGTAATTACCCTAAATGGAAGACAAAAGCTAAAGTAGAAGTAAAGAAAGGACTTACACAATCCAAATACTGGCATCGCAGCTACTAGGTTCAGGGACAGGTGTACAGAAATAAAAGAGAAACGTGATTCTATCCACCTCACAACAGCTCTAGCAGGTATCTTCCCAGGCAGTTAGGTATTTGCTTCTTGCCTCTATTAAGCCACCAGAATTCTTGGAAAGGACCATGGCTTGCGTCTAGCTCTTAAGCAAAACCTTTCTCTTGGCTCACATCTTCCTGAAGAGGATCTCTGTTTAGGAATACATTTGTCTCCTAAAGCTCTCCAGTCTCCCCTGGGATTCTACTTGCATGCAAATTTTCCCTCTCTCCAAAGTTTTCTTTTAATATAACTTTAGACGGTTGTTTTTAACACTCTGTCTATAGAACTAGTAACCTTCTTCGAAAATGTCAGTGTCCTCTGGCATGGATAAATGGGGGGGTCACATGCTGTCCAGCTACAAAATACAAGGAGCTAGTGCCTGTGCTGATACTGACCTATAGATGAATTGCTAACATTTTTTGAGGTAGGCACTCTGTCTCATCAGGAAGGCAGTGTTCATGCCTCAGCATCAACACCATCTACACTCTCAAAGCAATTTGTATATAAATTTGATATTGGCAGTTGTACAGACAAGATTAACAACTTTCAACTAAAAATAGATATAATGGTAACCAATTGCTTTGGTATGACAGTAGGTTAAGGGATGAGTGATCCCTAACTTTGATCTTGAGAGGTACCAGGTCACATACCTTTAAAGAAATTTGCTGCAAAGCCTGCTTTATTGATGGTTGCATCTGATGCAAACTTCATCCATACTTTATTTGAGCTGGATTTGACATCTTCTGGCTTTTCATAGCCACAGAAGTGACCGATCAATGGGCTGTGTTCAGTGAGGCCATCTCGGATCTCCAGGTAGTCATAAGAACACGTGTCATGCCATTCGATCTGCAAAGGGAAAGGGCTGTGCCTGTACCTCACTGGTAGGAGTGCTCTAAGTCCTAGTTATGCAGACTTTGCCCATCGATCAGCTTCCAAAGGAGCATCCCAGACAACTGATCACAACTAGGCCCTTGCATCATGACTGCCGTTGAACATTCCCGCAGCTGAAACCACACTCAAGCATGGGCACATGTCAGTTCTACTGCCATTTCATGGCTATCTTCCAGTGAAAAATGATCCTTGACTATCTACAAGCTGCTTTGCAATAAGAAGCTTAAGGGACAGAGCAGAACAACTACAAACAAAAAGGCTCAGGGAACAGCCCTGCAGTTACAGCTAGGAGGTAGTAGTGTCAGCCCTTTCCTGAACTATGCACAAGCCATAGTGTCCTGCGGGCTAGATGGGACTTACGTACCAACCCAGGTCCTGTCCACTCCTGTCTGTGACTTATACATTAGTAGTCAGCAAATAGATCACAGGGCTCCTGACCAACGGTCTAACGCATCCTATAATCTGCTGGCCTGAACCATGATGTTTCGTTGGAGAGTCACAAGTATGCTGAAATATGCCAAACCCCTGTGAGAGCAACAGGAAATTTTTGCCTGGAATACAATTATTCAATTTCATTTGACCAGAGAGAAAAGATAGGCACACATGCATCCCTACTTAACACGATCAACTATTTTGTGCCCCTTCTAATTTCTCCTGTCTAGAGTAAAAGTTTTCAAAAACTCATCATATTTAAACCTTGGCTTCAAAATCTCTCAGCAATCTTCTGGTGAGGAGAAACAATTTTCTGAACTACTCGAAAGACTTCTTTAAGCAAAATATGTTATTATTTAAATCACTTCCTTTTTAATTTTGAAGGACTTATGGAGCTGTAATAATCATTCAAGAGCTTACAATGACCTTTCTCACCTCAAAGGCTTGGAATGTGATTCCTATGTGAAAGCCCTCAGAAACTGTGATCTTCCAGATGCACTCTTTGGAAGGTCTGTAGTCATCCGGGTAATTGGGAGATTGGATCTGGCCAGCATCTTTGTGAACTTCTCCACCACAAATAGCTTCATAAAAAACAATCAACAAAAACATGAGATTACAAGCTTTTCATTAGCTTAAAGCCTGCTCCAAACACAGCCTTCTTCCTCATTCAAATCTACATTGATACCACTTATTCCATAAAGGGAACACGCAAGTCATGGAAGTTTTTACAAATCTAACATTTCATCTTAGTGACTGTGTCTTCTATTTTGCTGTACCAACCTCCTTGGAAGGTGAACAAGTGGGGACAGAGAAGAATTATGGATTTGTGTGTTTCACAGTGCTGGTCACCTTCATAAGTACTTAAAAACTAGTATCCAAGAAAAGATGTAAAATAACAAATCAAAAAAGGTTGCAAATCTAATCCAGCCACACGATGGCAATATTAACAAGCACGAGGAGAGCAGTTCACCAGGAGACCATCAGGCTGACGGCTAGGCATGAAAACTTAAGCTGTGCAGTAAATGCAGGAATCAATAAGTTTAAAGGCCAAGAACAGATAACTAAATATAAAAGCTAGTTTAATACAAGAGTAGCAGAGACCTCAAACACAACAGAGCATACAGCATAACTTTCTGCAGGACTGTGTAACAGGTTAATACCTGTGTTACTCCACGGTCAAAGACACACACACACACACACACAGAGCTAAAGAAGGCAAATAAATGTTTTGGCTGTGCTTAAAATCCAGCAAATGCAAAGCACTGACAGTAAGTACAAGAAAGATGACCTTGCAATGGCCCCTGTTGGACATCAGTCTCCCTCACACTCAGGATCTTCCCACATCACATTACGTTAGCAGTTCAGGTGAGGGTCTCCCTACAATGCCCCAGAGTGCTTGCGTGAGGTTATGCTGTCTTGGTTTTGCCTGGTGAATTACTAACATTTAACTGTTACCTATTTAAAAGCACTGTTTTGCTGAGGTACTGCTAATTTTTTTGCTATAGAATCTAGTGCTAAGGCTGAACACTATTACATACCTGTAACTAAAATTTAGCTGCAGAACACAATTTAGATTGCAGTTCCAGTTTGTATATTCAGAGCTAGAAGCGGTGCCAAAGAAAGCCACTGGGGGATTCTGAAAGGAATTGTCACCTCCACCTAACAAAAAGAGGACTACAAGAGCAAAGTAGAAGACTGACGATTGTTTAACAGTCACAGGACTGTCAGACAGCACACAGTATTTTCTCTATTCATTGCAGTCGTTTACACTGAAATTCAGGTGAGTAGCTAATATACTGGAAGAGTTTTACTGCAAAACGGAAATAACATCTGCTGACAGAGCCTGAGAAGCCAATAACTATGACAAATTCAGGGCATCTGGGCTTGCTGGCAGACCCCACTTCTGGACTTCAGAACAGCGTCGGGAGACAGGTAATACCAGCCCAGAACAGAGCTATTTCTTGCCAGCAATGCTGCAAGGCAGTACCACTAGCATCTTCTCCAAGAAATCATGAAATCAAGAAGAAAAGATTTTCTTTGAATCTCAGGAAAGCAACAATATGACTGAACAGTGAGGACACTTTCACTGTATTAACTTCCTGTCATATAGTATCAAATAATCCTTCCATGATGGGGCTACTTGCTTCCATCTCTTTCCTCCTACCTATAAAACTTTAGGGTCAAGAACTGGAGGAAGCCAAACCCAAAGATAAAGCCACACCCCAGAGGTCACAGCAAAGTTCAGCCGCACAGGAGTTTACACGTACTCTCAGTAAAGGAAAAGGAAGAGAAGCAGTGGTAAAACCCATGTTTGCTTTTTAACATGTGAGGGAGAAGAGTTCTTAAAAAAAAAAAAAAAAAAAAGGAACTAACAGGAATACAGAGAGCTTTTGGACAAAAATCAATAGGTAGTTAAAAATTTCAAGATAGTCTCTCTTAGAAATAAAAATTATCCTTATTGCTTAGACACAGAAGTTATTCAGCAGCTGAGCAAACTACCTGAAAATGAGGAAAGAAATAAGCCATTAACATAGCTTGAATTAGAGGGAAATAGAAATTAAGAAAGATTTTTGGAAACATTCCCACTTCAGCAAATAAAATATGCAGAGAAATGCAAATAATCTCATTACCTGCCCCTCCAACAAGAGAAGGCAGAGTTACGAAAAGAACTATGAAATGGGCCATCGCTGTTTCTTGGTACAAGCTGGCTTCCATCAGTAACTCTTTGTGCTCGCTGTCAGGCTTAGCAATATATTTTATACCTTCCCAAAGGGAAGCTTCTTAAGGGAAAGGGTTATGTAAAAAGCCTTGAAGAGGCAGGAAAATATGAACAATCAGCAGTATACAGAGTTCATCCACTAGATGCACAGTCTACTTCCATTTGCTCTCCTCAAGTCAAGTGAAGTAAGTATTGCTCATTTTTATTGAATATTTAGGGATCATTTATTAATCAACAGGAAATATGAAAAATTATCCAGAGAAAACAAAGTTTTTCAAATTGACTGTGGCACATAGCTAATGTCAAATAAATTTTCTTTCAGTATCATTTATCAGTATGAAGCAAGATGCCATATTAACACACATGATGAAGAACAGAGAAATTGCTTCCCAAGAATATTCCTCAGCTTGCTTTTTTTTTTTCTTTTCTTTTTTTAAAAGTTAGACCAGCTATCACTGGGGGGTAACCCACTGTAACAATTGAGTTGAGTAGCCCACAGAAGCCATAAGTCAAAATAAAACAGAACAGGCTACTATAGACACAGTAGTTTGATCACTTCTAATTTCAGCAAACTACCATAAAAGGGGTGTTACAAACCACCTGGGGTCCAGGCAGCAGCTCTTTCTCTGGAGAGACATAAAAAATAAGGCAAGCTATCTCTGTTTTTGGCATAACAATTCCTGTTGAAATCATATTTTTCTTATGAAAAGGATTTGTTAGCCGCACACTGTTATAAAATCCTCATATGTTTTATTTGCACTTCCCCAACAGTACTGTATTTTCTTCACTTCCCTCTCCTAGTTTCATTATTCATGAGTATATTGGACATTCAGCATTGGATTTCCAATGTCGCGCTTATCCCTGTGGCTGCAAAAAAAGGATGCATCATTGGAACTAATACAGTCAGCCTCAATACTGTTGACAACACTGGTACTTCTAAGAAAACGCTTCTTGCCCAGAGAACAGCAAGGCTTTTAATACGTTCTAGAATCATTATTGTCAAAACTAGGCATATCTGGAAAAGGGGTATTCCTGATTTATCAGTCACTTGGGCAGCACTGCTCATCCTCTAAAGCAGTCTCAGCCTCCCAGTGCTTTGCAATCTTCTGAAGTACCTGAGCAGAAGCAGAAGTAACATGCTAATTTTCAAACTTCTGTAAGTAACACACACGAGGGAGAAACCAAAGAAAAGTCTTCTGCATTTGAATGAAGCAAACAGCCCAAAATAAGACACATTAAGTGATATAAAATCTATGATCTCCAGCAGAACCTTGCCTGTTATGTTACTAAAAGTAACCCCGGCTACACACAGCACTGCTGCTTCCAGAGACCAGTTAGGGCAAACAACAGAACCATGGCCTATGGATGGAAGCTGTTGTTGGCCTGCACTGCCAACCTATTCCTGCAAGCAAACGTGATGATCTAGTTTACAGATCCAGGTCATGTCCTCTCAAACAGCCCACAAATTCTGCCAGTATCCTTAAAAACAAGAGTGGGGCCATGTCTAACCACATGGTGCAGCAGAACTACTGCCCCATAAATCCTTGCATTCAGCTCTGAGTGTTCCAGGCAACGTGACAGAGTCCTCCTAGCTAAGGGCCGTACCTTCATAGACCACAAAGAAGCCCTTGCCCAGGATGTTACTGCTGCTCCGGAATTCGATCCACAGCCTGCTGTCTGTGGAAATTATTGGTTCAGGGATCTTGTCGCCACAAAATCTACCTAGAAGGCAGGAAAGAGACAATTAAGATTTCCCAGCTGACTGGCAGCACAGTGCAGCAGGCTCCTGTGGTTTCCAAGAAGTGAAGAGAATACGTGGTTAAAGGAGCAGTGCTTGAGTAAAACACACTTTCACTACCACCATTCGTGCTTTTCCATGAGATTCTCTTTTTGCACCCTTAATTCATATTCTCCTAAATTATTAAATTAATAAAGTTTTTTTTCCACCTGGGACCAGAATCCAGCATTCACAAATGCAGCCTCCATTGCCCTGGTAAATTTAGCAGGGCTCTTGTTTTGACCACTCAATTGCGCAGATGATCTGACAAGGATAGGGAATCATTCTCTGCTCTCCTTGAGGCGTGGCATTAGGGAATATCCCTTCCTTTGAGTAAGCCTTGGGAACTCCTCAGCCCTTTGCACCTGAGATCAAATTGCAGAAGTCAAACTGCGGGCTAGATGGGGCCATGCTGATGAGAAAGAGGGTTACACAGATCCCTCACACCATCATCTAACACAGCGCATCCTGTAACAAGTGCTACAGACCCCTTTTCTCTTCTGCTCTTCCTCCCCCACAAAATCTACCTCTTTCTAGTTAAGCCTCTGTAGTCATTCAGTCTCTCAATGCTCAATAGCTTTGAGCTATTGAACCTCCACTAGGTAAAACTCTGTTAATGTCTTACCTGCAAGACTAGCACCTTAGTCCCCAACAGCAGGCTGCTTTAGTGACTCCCTACACTGGAAAAGGAGACAGACTGCCTGACAGTCAGCAGGCCTTGAGCTGAGAAGGCTGTTGCTTTTCCTATGTATGGGGGGCAGAGTGGTTGGTCCAAGGCCTGTGCATTAAAAGCCTAGTGACCCTCCTGCCTAGTCAGCTGCCCTCAAACACCCTTTTACTCTGCCTTTCCCCTTTTTTCCTCTGTGGAGCTCCCATCTAAGTATTAGCCCAGACCATAGTTCTACTCAGCTCCTCCATTCCGAATTCCTTGTACCTCTAAGCTGCCCAGCACTGCTTGGGCAGTGTGGCAGGCCCACAGTTTAACAGCAACATCTCCCATCTCCACTTCCAAAGGGGATGCCAACAAATAGCATCAGCACTGCAAAGCTCCTTCCTCTAGGGTCACTGAGCAATTACCTCCTGGATTTAGACTTGGAGTTCAACAAGGATGTCAGGGAGAGGAAATGCACATGAGGAACTAGATTGAGCAAAACCCTCAGAGTATGATAAAGGGCCCATTCATGGAAAGTTATACACCATGTAAAGGCTGAGTTTTCACACACTTCCCTGGGAAAATATGCAGTGCACATGTATTTTTTTTCTCCACAAGAAGTCCATGCTTTCACAATTCACACTAATCCCCCTCCCTGCCCCCCATTGAATTGCTGCCTGTCTGCCTCTTCCAAGCTAATTTCATGGGCTCAGCCCCTTGTGGGAGCTGTGGCTGCTCATACAGCCTCTCGTTCCAGATGGAAACGCTCACAAGTCCACCTGCATTAGGGGTTCAGGAAGGTGCATGGCTTTTGAAATACCTTCCAATTACTTGGGAGAGAAAATAAATAATGAGAATGTAAGTCATAGCCGCTGGAGCAACATTACCTGCTGCATGTGCTGTAGAAACCAGCAACAGCTGCTGCCAACCCCAAAAGCAGGCAGGAAGCAGTAAAAACTGCTGCCAGCTCCGTATAGGAATGCAGGCCCACAGAAGCCTCTAGAGAGCAGCACAGCTCCAACCTCAGAACCTCACCTAGCATTGAGGCTGGAATTTCCAAAGGGGCCAAGGTGAGCTGCACACCTCTATAGTCCCAATGACCATGCTGTCTGATGAGCCCAGATCTGTGCTGCAGCATCAGGCACAGCATCCCTAACACAGCTGGTGATGCTACACAAGCTAGTTGTGACTTCCTTACTTTTCAGGGAGGAGGGGCTGTTTGCACTGTTTTATGTACAGGGACATGAGAGATTAGGAGACAAGGTCAAGATGAGAGCCACTGGCATAGCTGGAAAAAGAAGATGGGAATCCTCACTGCCCGCTCTGAGCTCTCCTTCCCCCACGGCCATGGGGAACGCACCAACTGCTGCACAGTCTAAGGGCATTGCCAGGTGTCTTGCAAGCTCCCCCTGGCACTCTGGACTAAGGTGGAGTCAGCAGCAGTGCAGGGTGGGAGACAACCTGAAGTCTTCTGATATCAGGAGGTGGAGAAATAGAGAGGACGCTGAGGGAGAGCTGCATTTTCTCGAGATCTTTGGGAGTAGTAGTAGGGTAAAGCCCTTGCACAGTTAGACATCCTTGGCATGATCAATAATCTCCTCACTTAGAGGCAAATTTCTAGCTGGAAGTACAGAGGCCCAAAGTACAAACTACTCTGTATTTATATTCTCACGGAGAAATAATTGCAGGACCTTGGGCCAGGAGCTGTACAACTGCTTCATCCCGACTGCCTGACAGTTCCACTCAGGCCTTATGGAAAAGCAGTTAAAGTGGTTAAAACTCCACAGACCACCTTTTTAATCCCAGCTATGCCCCCGACTCACTTTCCTTTGTGACTCAGTTCTCAATTGGAAAAGGAAGGAATAAAGCCTTTGCTACTAAAAGGCTTGGAGCTTGAATCATTTGGTAGGAATACAACACACTGACATCTGGATGGACACGTTAATGAATAGCCAATGCCCTAGCTGGACACAGGCCCCTTAAAGGTAAAGGAATTTTTTTTTGCAATAGGCCTCAAGGAGAATGCACAAAATGCAAGAAAAATGAAATATCCACTCACCCAGTAACGGAGCCTTCCTCCAGTAGCCATCACGCACCTCAACATAATCATACCAACAAAGGCGACTTTTAAACAGGTCCATCGATGTGAAGTTTAACATAATCTGCAAAGAGAAAGGACTCAGGCCTTTTTGCAAAGGGAGCTACTTCAAAGAGAAGGCACTGCAGATTACGTGCTTCGTCTCTGCTATTATGCTACATAAGGGAGTGCGCAGTAGAAGACAGTCAGACAGCTGGCTGGATTTTTTTAATCACCTTTCATCAAAAAGAAAGGCTTCTTAAGGTGTTTTAACAGAACAATACAGTACATGACAGCAGATATTACAAGTAACTTTATTGTCTGTTCTGTAACTCACAGTCAATGCTCCTCAATTAGTAAAAGACTACTTAAAAAAAAGGCCTAATTTTGTTTTTACAATTAGAAAATAGAATCCTTGGTCTTGATTAATATAAATTATATAGAAAAACACATTGCCCAAAAACAGAGGTGTTTGGGGGTTATTCCCTACATAAATGACACTTCTTGTAAGAAATAGATAATTTTACTGACACATTTGTTTCACTGACACATTTCGTTCTTCAAATACATCAATAGCAAAAGGAAGACTAGGGAAAACGTGGGCCCGCTGCTGAATGGGGCGGGTGCCCTGGTGACGAAGGATACAGAGAAGGCAGAGTTATTGAATGCCTTCTTTGCTTCAGTCTTCACTGCTAAGGCCAGTCCTCAGGAATTCCAGACC